ACTAAAGTTTATGCACCATGCTACCACCACATAGGTGAAATATTGATGACTCGTCACAAAACAGAGAAGCACAGAAAGTATTATGATCACTGAAATAAAATGGAAGACAATAGAATTACGTAAGTTGTAATCGTTGATATGATTGTGAGCAATTTATTGTATTCGTAACATCATCAGTAAATAATATATTACGCTTTCAGATAAATTAATCCCTAATGGAATAATACTCTGTCAGATAATCGAAGTCTCATTTTAATATTCACTCACTCTCATGATCAGCATCACTAATTAGTATCATCGAATATGAAATTAATCGACAAAAGCATTCACCTTTTTTAGTGTAACTACTTGGGAAAATATCAAATTATTCACTTTATTTGGGTATTATGAGGCTTGTAAGAGTAGTTCATTGAGTTTAGCGTCTTTACACATCGTTTTCTTAAAACCTGGAGTCACCGTTTGATTGGGTCTCAATACAGCGCATAACTTTGCATCGATATGTATGGGTTTCGTCTACCATATTTCGAAAAGCTACACGTATTGGAAAAAAATCCTTCTTTACAATTCACCATAGAAAAGGAATCTGAACTAAGTATTCTGTTTCTTGATGTGTGCCTTAGTAGACGTAATGACGTATCTCTCAAAAGATCTATCCACCGGAAACGTACATGGAACAGACAACTAACTATTTTTTATAGTTGGGTGCCTATCTCCAGGAAAAGGAACCTAATTCATTCGCTCTGCTTTAGGATAAGGAACATTTGTAGTTCTGATTGCGTTGACTCGGAACTTGACTTCTTAAAAGCCATTCTCGAAGAAAACAGTTACCCTAACCGATTTATTGACAGCAACATGAAAGATAAGCAGTCTAAACTGGTCACTGACTCAGTTCCAAAGAAAACCTTATTCATGAACCTGGAATATAAAGGTGATCAAGCTTCAGATATGCTCAAAAATCGTCTCTCTAAGGCAGTCAGTAAGAGCTTCTTTGCAGCAAAATTACATATCACGTTCACTAACCGCAAGTTGTTCTCTACCTCTGTAAAAGATAAACTCCCCGTCTGGCAGCCTCTATGTGCATCTATCTGCTCACCTGCTGTTGTGGAGCAAAGTATATTGGCCGTAGTCAGTGGACGCTTTCCACACAGATACGAGAACATATTCCAGCATGGTTTTACAAGAGAGAAAGGAAGTGTGTGCGAAGCTCTATTCTGGAACACCTGATCGACTTCTGTCACTCTGTCAATCCTGGCCATGATTTTAAGATCATATATAGAATCCATGCTAACGACCCGCGTTTTCTTCGTTACAGACTTCTAAAGACAGCTGAGGTCTTAGCAATTCATGACTTTAAGCCAGACTTTTGTGTACAAAAGAAGTATGTACAATCCCTACTTCTGCCTTGGCAGTAGAGGGATAGACATTTATTTATTTTGTTTATTTAGTTATTCTATGTGCTTTCCCTTGTTACTACGATTATTACTTTTATTATTATTATTATCATTATTATTACTATTCTCACTCTGAATTGTTTCCACTTAGCCCCCTTGTCATTCTAAATTATTAATTTTTATATTTTTCATTTTTACAATATTGAATTCTATCTTATCAAATTTCACACCATTTTGTGTAACATTTTATATTCGCCTACTAATCCTATAATTATGTACCCCTTTCCAAAATCTTTACACCTTATGTATTATTCTATATATGACATTAATTATTTTGCCACTTGACATTGAACTATGATTATAATCACAAATATTTTAATTGTACTTCATACTATTATTATTATTTCATGTATTCACACCTTTGACCTAATTCCCTCACCGGATATAATTTCTTAAAAAACCATATATATATATATATATATACGATTGTACAGCTTGATAATAAATTCGTTGAAAAGAGTCTCTTCGCTGAATATTGTGTTCTTAATGCTACAATGGAAATTATTAAATTATGTATAGAATAATTCAAAGAATGGATAGAACTTGGAAAGGGTGCGCAATTATAGGATTTGTAGACAGTGTGTAGTTATTGATTCCTGCCACGTCGGTGACTTCAACCACGCAGCTAATACGGTTTTTGTGGTTCCAAAGGCAGTCAGTGACACCATAAACTGAAGTCATATTTCAGGATTACTATGTGGAACTATTTTCAAAGATAATTCTACTATATTTACCATTTCTGCTCAAGGTAGGTGATAACTGGACATGGTTAACGTTCATCTAATATACATCATTCGAAGGTTATGTACAATCTTATCAAGTGAATTTTGTACCCTACCTAACACTTTACACATACTGACATTGCTCACCATGTTGCTCCATATAGTTTGAGTGATTCATCGGTTATTATTTTTTATCGTTTTATTCCTTTGAATTCCGAGTGGAAGTTTCAGTAGCAGAGGTTTTACTTTCTACGGGGTGGGGCTGCTAGTCTCAGATTGAACCTTCCCTCTTTGTTGAGTTTACAACCAAACAAAGGAGGTAAACATGTGCGCCAGACGATAATAAAGCCTCTGACCACATGATATCATTGCTTTCCTCATCGAAGTTAGCTGGGGTTCTGTTACAAGACTGAAAGACAATATACGGAGTGAAATGTTACGCCGTCACTGTTTCATAATAAGCAACTAAATATGCCGCTAGCACAGAAGATAAAAAATGCTAAAGAAACCTGTTTATGAGATTTTGTTACCAGCTGCTCCAACAGGGCTAACGTCGCTTCTGATTTCAATAAGAAAATGACACTTGAGAACAAACTTGAAGGAATGCTGTTTCTCATGTTATCAAGTTTTCACCACAGAATTTTTACTGAATTAAATACCTAAACGAAAGTATTCAGAAGATCACAAGCTATTTTGATAAAGTATCTATAGTGATTCAGTAGTAGTTTACACTGTCTCTTTCGCCAATAAAAATAGGTCAGTAATCTCTGACGTGGCTTTGTAAGAAAGCAAAATGACAGAAAAACGCGACAGTAGTAACAATGATCACATGGAAAACACATATCTGCGTTCATCGAAAGCATTAAACGGATGTCCAAACTGTACAATACCATGAAAATCTAGTTAATTTAGAAAGTTTAACTGTAGCTGCTCACTAGAAACATCTAATGGGGAAACGTCAGCCAAAGGTTTTTTTAACTGAGTCCAATAGTATCATTGAGTATTCACTAACTTTCAGGTAAAATATGTAACTATAGTTACGCTAGATGACCTTATGAAAGTCATCCCCTAGAAAGATTTTATAATGAGGACAATAGGCAGCCTACCTAATATTTATAAAGTGCTTAATTATTTTTTGGATCAATGGTAGAAACTTTGTTTGATAAATTCTTGTATTTTACTTCAAAAAATTTAATTTTTCACGGTATGTGAAGAAGATTACAGTGTAGTAAGCTAATGAATAAAGAAACCATGAAATGCGAAACAGATAGCAACTTACGAGGATCTAAATGGCTGAAGTTTGTTTTGTGAGCTAACTGATCTACCTGGGAGATTTTAGCAAGTGAATTTTTAACCGATGATTAAATACGTATGGTACAAATAAAGTATAATTATATTTCAATGATTTACACACAATAATAAGTTTTGTTATTAGTAATTTTGCTCAAAATATTACCAATAACAAAACTTATTATTGTGTGTAAACCATTGAAATATAATTACACTTTATTCGGTCTATTCCACAATGCTCAAACTTTTCACTGACGTGTAGTACAGTTTAGATTGCAGTAAATTAGTGAATACAAATATTTGTCATTTATTTTATCTTCTACGCCATTTTTAGTTATGACAAATAAAAGGTGCTTGCACTGAGTTTTACGTAAATCTTAATAAATATGGTTATAATTTTGTCAAAACCGAACTTACCCTTCATATACAACAACTACGTCTCACAAGTAAAGCGTCTGAAGGTGATTAAATCCATAAAATCCAATATTTAGTTTGTATTAAGAAAATCTTTGGTTTGTTGTAATATTTTTAAATGATTATGAACAATAAATTGTATTCGAAATATCACCCAGTTGTTAATACTGTTTCAGTGAGTGATCTGTGTAACGGACAAACTAATATTAAAAAAATTTTGATACATTTCGCTACAAAAGCGATACGTATACACTCAAGTTCTGTTAGTTTTATGAACATAATAACTCTGAGCTGGAATATCATTAAAAGTGTTTAATCCCTACCATTTTTTACAGGAATGACAAATTAAAAAAATGATTTTTTCATGAACTCGTGTCTGTTATTGACAAAGTCTACCTTGAAATTAATCAAACACAAATGCATTGCTCATAACAAGCCACTTTTGAAATGGATTTCTAGAAGCTGCTATAAAAGGGTATGAACGATTGGAATGTGACAACGGTTGTTCATCTAAACCAATATATGGCTGTAGTCCTTTGTTGTGAAGTGATTAAAGTTGGAGTTGATATCCACTGGATTACAATCTAGCGTGTGGATGGAAACGTGCCTAACTGGTAAGTTGAAGGCCCTGGGATCGATTTATTACTGCATCTTGGGCACTGTGGTGTTCTTTAGACCTGAGGAGCTGTCAAACATACATAACTTCATAAAAATATCTGCTTTAAAAATTTTATAGGGATGAATTTATCAACCATTAGTGGGTATGTTTTCGATGTTTTATGTGACATATTTAGCTGTTAATTAATAGGTGGTTAAAAGGTATCCATACTTTCCTCTATTTAGTTGCGTTCTAAATATATTATTCTCAAAAACCAAGAATAACTATTAGAAGCAGTACTGTTTGAAGTGCCCATAAAGTGTATTTATTAAGGCTGGACATTAAAAAGGGCATTATGAGACAGACTGACGCTTGAAATGAATGACACTGTTCAGTCTACTAGTATAACTCTCCCATTATTTGGGAATGATACGTTTTCATTCTACTTTTGACGAAATCAGGTGAAAATTACCGAAGAATTCTAACTGTTCAAGACTGTCTTCTATTTCATGAAGAACAATACAGTAAAAGGAAGCCTAAATAAAAATTTTATTCTTAATTTTAATAAGAGAATTTTTAACATAATTGACTGGAAAAGGTGATTTTTTCCTTGTAAAAATTAAAAGAATCATTGTGAAGTAAATTAAGCACAATAGCCATCAAAATTTAAAATTATGACGACAATAAGAATAACGTTCACAGACATAACTGAGAAATTAACTAATATGTTACAAGGACAAACGCACTTATAAGCGCATATATATAACTAGATATGCAAGGAAAAGAAATAATTTAACCAAAGAAGTTGATTATTGGAGGATGAAAGCTTTTCACAATTCACTGAAAAGAGTAGAGAGTATTAAGGGTAAAGCGATTTATACAAACCAGTCTATTGTACAAGTAAATAAATAATAAATACACATCATAAAACTGAAGAAGGTAAAATGAAGGGAGGAAGTAAGCACTATCCAAACTCAAGTAAATCAGTTATAGCAGCTGTTATGCATACACCGTGTCAATATAATCGTGGATTCAAGGGATAAAAACCACAGACTACATGCTATTCTATAACTCGTAGTTTATTTCACTGAAAAAAAAGAAGATTGAAAACAAACTTCCTGAAGAACATTTTCACAGTACGTGAATAAAGTATCCACAGACTGGATGATTAGCTAGGAAAGAATAATGGGAAGATTTATCTATATCTTGAGGACGTTGAATTACACCAAGAGGAAATAATCGAATAATTAGCAGGAACGAATTGCATGACAGACCTAGCATAAACGACATGGAATAACCAGTCAAGTTAAGTAGTGTAAACGTAATTTTGTTCAGACTAAGAAACCACTTGAAGAGCAATGGTAAAGTTAAGGAAAAATAAAATTGGGTAGTAAATATCTCAATCTCCTCAAACCTTCTGGACATGAGATACGTAGAATACGTGAAATAAACGAAAGAGTGGATAAAAACATATGTTTTCGCCGTAAAAGTTGAACCGTTTTCAAACAAAGAAAGCATTACATGAAACCTGCATATAATATTACTGTACAAAGGAAACCGCATTGTTCACTTTAATTGTATCATAAACGGCATACAATCGAAATGAAATTTCACGTAGCAAAATGAAAAGAGTAAAGTAGTAGAATAATAAAACTTCGAAGCAAATGAAAAGCCAAGTGGAAATTATGAACTACTTTCCTCAAAGAAATAAGTAGAAATGAAATACTACTAAGGAGGTAAAAAATAAGATATTAATTAACACCAATGAAGAACAGTAATTTGAATAAACTGTAGGTAAACCATGACTTTGGTGGACACTATTAGCTTGCTGACTTAGTTTGATTTCATTAGCTTTTATTCTCATAACTATTTAGTTGCGGTGGGTTTATTATGGTTCAAAATATCCTCCACCTGTTCCGGGATTAAATATTCCGTTTGTTGTAAAGGTAATCGATGTAGAAGTGGATCTTTAAGACGTCGTAATTCTGATTTCAGATGAGCTAGTTGGTCACGTAGTTCATTGTAACGTTCAACATCAAAAGAAAGTTTATCAGCTGATTTGTAAAAACTTTTTAAATATTCACGATCGAATACTTGAGGTAGCGTGTAATCCTGTTATAAAAAATGTTTTAGAAAAGTAAACATGAAACGCTGCTAATATATATGTGTATATATAATTTAGGGCATTTGGGAATGGAAAAATGTCAGCAATACAACTGCTCAAACAGATGGATTGAACATAGGATTAATTATTAATGAATCCTGATAATGCAGTCCCTAATTATATCCACACATATTTAGTAAAATTTCAGATTAATTTTACATGTTTGAAAACAGATATTGCTTAAACATTAGCTGGCTATTCAACTTAAAGATTATTGTCTAAATTAAGTGAATATTTTGATCTCATATAAATTGATTGTAGGAGTTAGACAATAATGATATGCAACTTGTTAATTAAGACTGACATCATTTCAGAAATCCATACAAGAATCTTTGAAATTATTACTGAGCCTAAATGTCTCAATCTGATTACGCATTCACAAGCGATCTTGTGATGATGGATACATTTGCCAGTGTTAGTGTAAGCTAAGCTTTATATGGGTCGGTAGCATTTCTTCGAAATGAGAGCAAAGTCAAAAGTTTTCAAGACCGGAACAACCAGCTGAGAAGGATAAAGTGACGTCAAACAACATTAAAGGAACTTTTATATCAGCATACAAAATATTCACATCGACTAATTGCCATGGTGGAAACCAGTGATGAGGCAAAAATCAATCATCCTGTATTGTACAAAAAGAATACGTTGTCATGGTTGATGAAGGTTGAGAGTAAATATCATTTTGCTTTACTTCACCCTTGTGAAGTTGTTCTCTTTTTGGCTGTTAACCGTTAACTTATTCTTTTGCTTTTTCATTTTATCGCTTAGCTCGGTGATTTATTTGACAATTTGAATGGTAGAATTCGGTCAACACCATGACTAAGGACTAAACAACACTGCCCAGTGTCCAAATAACGTACATGTACGGATAACTTTTTAAAACAAGTTTATCAGAATAAAGTCCTCTGGTTCATCAACCTCTTATTTTTTTGATTATAGCTTGATTCCATACCCAATTTTTCGGTACAGGTATGGAATTTTCAGCATGTGATATCGGTAGCCCAAATTTTGCAGGCTGACCATAGATGTCGGGTTTGCGTCGGTAGAGGATCGAACCCCGGACCATTTGCATGGTCGGTGAGAGTCCTAACCACTATGTCACCTACGCACGGTGTAATATTCATGTTATTCACTTTGAAATTCATTGAGTTATTGATGGCTGTGCAAATTTTGAAAATAATGGAAAAGTAGGTAACACAAGTGAGTCGTCCAAAAGGTATTGCCCATTAATCAGTGGTTATGGGTTTAAACTAACCTGACGTGTGATAACGTAGTAAGCATACATGGCCATACTGGTTGCATAACCAACAAAATATGTAACCGGCTCCATAATGTCCCACGAATATTCCCACCAAGTTAATCTGGCCAACAGTCCGAATTGTACCCCCATTGCGCCTAATCCAAGCCAAGTAAGTCGACGTGTCCGTTGGGCGGCTTGCGTAGCAATAACAGACTTTTGCTAAAAGATATATCGATATTACACAAAGTACTGCTGGTAGTGATTTTATGTAAAACTTGGAATCTATACTCAACTTTGAAACCACTATAAGTCATTATGAAGTTTAATGAGAGGTTTGTGTCTCAAAGTACGAGTGTCTGCTATCTCTTTCGTAGATAACCCTCAATTCGCCAGAGAAAAATGTTTGCTAGAGTAAGCCTAGGAAGTCAGCAATTTTTAAAGGAAAGAGACAAGATACTTAAAGACATAATGCATGTACTGATTTCGTGTAAATAATAGTAATATATAAAGAGCTAAACATTTAGACATACAACCCTTAACTGTTCTCCATTCCGCTGTTTATACACTTTCTCTGATGTAAATTTGTTTGTCATAAACCAGTTTCCAGTTAAATAACAAATTTCATACCACTACATTTCTCCGATTGGTAAATTACTAAATAAGACTAGTGGAAGCCCATATCAGTGGAAGTGTTTTGGTGTGATATCTTAAAAGTTATTTCCATAGTTCGTCTGCAGTAAAATAAAACAGGTGGAAAAGAAAAAGGGTGCGAAAAATGCATCTTAAGAAATTATTTCCTAAAACAGTATCTTATTCAGAAAATGGATATTGAAATTACAACACAAACTAAATTGTCTACTAAATTATTATTATTATTACCATTAGTTAATCATCATCTAGCAGCTCATTATAGCTGTGTGAACTGGGAGACTTAGACGTTCTACTGCAACGTCTTGCACACAAACTGTGTGTCTGACAATTTGCTTTAACTTGATGAAACAATCCTTTATCTATGAATAAGATCAGATATGTTGAGCATAGAAGCATGCAAAAGTTTTGGTGGTCTATTTGTCCCAAATGAATATGAAGCTCATGAAACAAAAGAACCGAGGGGCAATTTTTTCTCTTAAATATTAACTTATTTATAAATGTCTTGAAAAGCATTGGGAGAATTCAAGAAAAACAATATACCTGTTCAAATGGTTCCAACTGCAAAATTACATCTTCAATGCACTTTTCAAGCTGGTGTTGTTTTTGTGCGTAAAACTCGTCTATATGGAAGGCACTGGCAAGTTTTACAACTAGCTGTCGAGCATCAGCTATATCTCTTGGAACAGCACTAAACTCAAAGGCTAAAACGTAAAAATAAATGAGTAAAAGGGTTTTCTTGAAAGCTCATTGAAACTGTATGATCAAGAAATACGGATAAAAGAAGTAAAAAGTTATCAGAGAACGATGACTTTTGGCAAATAGGAGACCAAACTTAATTGGTGAACTGTGTGACAACTTATAGAATTCCATGTGACTGATAATTTCGACGCGGATTATGTGGATACAGTTAACTCGTCAGCGTTTCTGACTACCATTAAGACACAATTTACATAGAATTAGAGGGTTGAGGGAATGCTAATAAATCATCGCTTACAAAACTAAAGCACACATACACCTTCAACTTAATCAGTACATGTTTACTAACTGAACTCGGTAAAATTCTGGCGATTGTAAACAAGTCTACATTTCTACAGGAATAGTGTTACATCTATGTACATCTAAAAGATCTCATGCATTTCATGCTTGGGTTGGAAGTTAATTTTAGAATTACCAGTAGGAAATAAGAAGATTGAAAATAATTTTTCTCTAGACAATAAGCGCTTAAACCTAATAATAAACTTATTCTTATATCTACAGCCGTGCATGTCTTTGCAGAAATGACATCTGGAAATAAACTTCTGCAGAATACTGATTCATATAAGTTATGAATACTTTATGGAAGTCCCAAAGCTGAAAGGTATACATGTTTATCTTGGTAGACAGTGAAGCTGTTACACTTTCAACTGGCTAAATTGCACCAGAAATCTTGTTTTGACTTCCGAAAGTAAGTATTTTCACATATTTTCACAATGGCTGAATTAAATCAGTGCTTGAACAGTTTTAGAACATTTGTAACATGCAAAGCGTGAATAATTGAAAAGTCGCCAATGCCTTGAGACGACTGATTTTCCACGATAGTGTTTGGAACTCAGAGCATACGTTAAAATATGCTTTGAGTGGGAGATAGACTGCAATATTAAGGACGTGAAAGTTACGGAGCCAACGATGACATCAGTTTGATAAACAAATAGTAGAAAACTCACTACGCTAATATTTAGGATACTGCTGAGTCACACCTAAATGATTTTCAAAAGTCAAGTCACATGATCAGTTTGAATGATTTATCTGAATTCTATTTCATCTGCATTGTTAGTCAAAAGTAAGACGAGAAAAATAAAGAATCCGCTGTAAACGAATCATTACTGCTTGTTACATTACATTCATTCTCTGTCCAATAAATTTATTTGATTGGTCTACATAGACAGAAAGAAGAAAGATAATCAATACCAGTCACGAGCGAAGAACAAGTTGTTCAGTTAATATTTTAAACCAATGAAAATGAAAAGTGGTTGTATCTGAATGTATTTTTTTCACAAAATAACATAAAATCCGTAACTGAGGTATTGAATTTAAGGCAAGAGAATAAGCATTTATTGGCAAATTTACAACAGAATCATAATGCATCGTATTGATCCCTTGATTATTTTTCTCCCGTAGGTTAGGGATACAAATACTAAGTTAGTGTACAGTTTCAAAAAAAACCCGTTATGAATACTGATTTCAGCTGGACGAAGATTATATGCGAACCTTTTAGTTAACAGACTTAGAAATCTTCGTACTAACAAATCTTTAAGATGAAATGTAGTCTGTATTTCGGCTGAATCTAAATAAGATGTTGTCAGATTACTGTTATTTACCATCGATCAACTATTATAGTGACTAAGGTCTTAGAACCATAGCAGCTGATTAAAAGTCCACTCTTTTACAGGATTGAAGGAAGATATTATTTTGAACTACTTTCAACCGCAGAAAACGGAAACACTTGGTAATGAAGAGAATAAAAATAAAGAAAAATTTCTTTCAAAATTTGAGGGAGTGATTCTCCTAACTGTTTTTCTGAAATCACCTTTTCATTAGAGCATGTACGCCTTAATGTGGCACTGCAGGTAAGTTCTTAGTTTAACCAGCCTGAAGTGAAACAACAGTAGAAAATTCGACTATTAATGAGAAGTTAAAAGCACTTTACGGTCTTCATCAGGCCTTAACAGATTATTTAGGAGATAAAAGCAGGTGTATATTTATCAAGGGTCTATAAACCATGATAAAGGACGTCACCAGGATTGTCATATGACTGCTTAAGATGTTCGACTCAAATGAACAGACTTGGAATAATGTGTCTTAACATAACTATGCTTGAAATAAAATAACCTTATGCTTATAAAAAATTTGGCGTAAAGCCAGAGGCACATGAAACTCGTATCAGGCAGTTGTAGGTTAGACATACGGGTTCGAATCTCTGAAGTCACACCATTTCCTTAGAGCTTGCAGATAGTCCTTGATGCTGAGTGCCAGCAAGCACAAGAACGAGGTTTAGGGCTTCCTTCTGATTACTTCCACCCTTTTACCATCAATTCAAAGTACCCCGCGATGGAAGGTCCCCAGCCCCCCTAAAACGCATAGTAAACTTTATTGATAGATATCAGCCAGTAGTACACCTGAAGACTGCACATTTCAGTTACTAACCAGTGACAATTTACTATACTCATAAAAAGTGATGGGTTTGAAAAAGCGAGTGGTTGGAGGAAAATGGCAGTCATGAACGGAAAATGGTTAAAATAATTGCAGAAATCAGAGAAATTACTCCATGGTCCAAAGATGTATACGTCATCTTTTATGCATATATCTGAATTCGTGTGCTAGATATAACATTAGACACAGCCAATTTCTCTGAAACCACAATCAGCCAAACTTACAAAGTGACGATGTATCTACATGATATTTTTGATCATTGATAATAAGATGAAAATTCGAGCTAAGAAGGTCGGCAACTGAGTTAGATTTAGCGATTCTAGTCCCATCTGAAGAAGAAAAAGAAGAAGAAAAGGTAATAGTCTTTAAAATCACAACTTAAAATGATAAAGTGAAATAGTTTGGAAGATTGTACCATTAGATGACTACTACAATGATTTCGGTTTCAGATGCTTACCATTTGGGCTAAATTTCCGCGAAGACCTACACGAAGAGTGACACGCCTGTCATCATATTGGTATTAATATTGAAAATAACAAGTAACCTCCATATTTCGAAACAAAATTAAAGGCGACACAAGATAAAGCCCTCTTTCTTCTCTTTTCCTACATTAATGGCTTGAATACTGTCAGTATGACATAATAACGACTCGATTCTGGTTGCCATAATTGGAAAAGACTACTAGTATGGAATCGACAGAATGTGTGCGACAGACAGTGAAGCTAAAATAAAAGGAAGTAAGATAAAATCTGACAATCAATCAATAAAGCGGTATGAACAACATGGGTTTCGTTTTACAGAATGTGTGTTCAGTTTGTTATTTTTTAACACTTCGGTGCTGCTGATTGCATCCTTCCTTACCATTGTGTGGTGTATCAACCAGCACTACCGTACTTTGGTTGAATTTCTTCTCTACCCAAACTTGGTTAGAGGTCCGTCACATAATTATGATCAGTCTAGTTTTGTAAATTAACTAAAGGTGAATACATATAAACAATAAGAGCAGCTGTAATGCACAGATGTAAATGTCCTGTGAACACTTCTCTGACAGCCTGGAAATAAGAGTCGGGAAATGGTTTCTGGTTTCTGAAAGAGAGTTTATAAATGCTACATCCAGAAAGATTTTGCTGGAGCGGTCTAATTCTTGAAAATATTCTGATTTCCACTTTCACATCAGTTTATTTCCATGGGATGTTAAGTTATTTGAAAAATCACGCATTACTTATTTTCAAATCCAAAATATATTACCTACAGAACAGAAAAGATGCTTATTGTTATCATATGTTAGGATGGCACGAATACAAAACCAAAATTAGATAGTTTACACGTAGAAACAAGACAGATAAACCTTATTTTAATTTTGTACTCGGTGACAGTTATACACCACCATCATAATATAGTAATAATAATAACTTCGTGAGGGCTCCCGATAAACGAGAGACATAGTAATAAAGCTTGACCTCGGAATTAAATAATTTAACTTCGAGTTAAAGGTGAAGCGTGTATTTCCAAAAACCTGTAGACAGGTCTCACCGATGATTGTCCAAAATAGTCTTACAAGTATTTCAGCATATATCCTTATGAACCAGGTGCCAACACTTAAAACTAAAGTAGTGCATAACAGTTTATTGTGACATGATTGATTAACTATATCCTACATGTGAATAGTTAAGATCAATGATTAATCAAATGTGAAGCTTACGCCATGCTAAAGTCGAATATAAGCTGGTATCACTGTCACTAATCGAAATCTCGTGGATTTGAAAACATTCAAATACAGTTTGCATCAGCGTTTTTATAAAAATCCAAATGCACAAAGTTCTCTAAAACTACTAGTTTTTGACAGTCTACAGGTTTAAATCAGTCTATGGAAACGGTCTCACTGGATGATTGATTTATTTAGACCTTGCATCCTAAATAGATAGGGAATTACAGAAGATAGAACGACATCATTCATCATTATATTAGTTTACAGAAAAGTAGTCTTATGAAAAGTCCTCTAAAATTTACATTATTAGGTAAAGGTGTAAAAAGTTGAAGATTGTTATGCTCAACTAAAATCAGAAAAAGTCGATTTTAAATCAGAATGAAATCTGAGAAATAATTCCTGTGAAAGCTATATTAAGAATGCAATTTATAAACAAAAAAGATGAATAAGCAGTCTTTGAGAAGTCTTTGAATTCTAAGATTTAAGATTATATTCTCCTGATTTATTCCTTAGCTTCGTAAAGCCTTTTGAGAAAATATTCCACACACTATGCGAAACTTCAATAACAGCTTTTCAGCTTTTCATATTTTGTAATACCGAACGTCAGTAAAAATGAAGGGATTTCAAACTTAACAGGCAGAACTTAACAACAGATAAAAGAATAAATCAACAGTGAGACATATGTGTATGTCATCCTTATGAAGATGCTTAGTCAGTAAATATGCATCACCTTTTTGCCCCAAGTCTTCACTCGTTGAATATTACTGTTGAACAAGCTAGGTTTCTGTAAACAATTGGGTTACTAATGTGCCTCAATAAAAAGTGCATAAAACATTTGAATCTGAAGCGTATGAATGTTCTTTTGAAATTCAAATTGAAGTTAGAAGTAAAAATGTAACCCAGATGAAAAGTTTCACAATGAAACCATCCGGTGCAAACAACACAATAACTCCAAGAACATTCATCTGAGCTACAAATCATCTGTATTATTTTAAAACAAGAAACAGGCTTTAAATTTGTTGCCGAGTTTCCTCCATTCTAAACTTCGAAAGACAGCAGAGGTCTTGGTCATTCATTCATTCCTACCCTGGCCACAGACGCATAAACACTTATTTACTTTTCGTTTCGTTTACTTAATCTGTGTGTCTTTCCTTTATTATTACTGCTGTTATTATTTTCATTTTCACTTTGAATAGTTACCGGTACTAATTTATTTGTTCCATTTATTACTTTATATCCATATATTTTCGCAATGTTGTAGTCTATCCCGTCATACCTCAAACTACGCTACACGATTTTTAATTGGCCTACTAATCCTGTTAATTTTACACCCCTTATATATTCTATGAACTGTTTTATGAATGACATTGTTTAGTCTCTTGATCTGAATTATGATTATAATCACAAACATTTTATCTCATTTCACATTATCATTTTAAGTATTGACACCTTTTGTTTAAATTTCCTTATAGGATCTAGTTTGAAAGAATATATATACATACAATTCTATGGCTTCACAGTAAATTCGATGAAAAGAGTCTCTTCGCTGAATAATGCTTTCTTAATGTTACAATATAGGTTATTAAATTTATTTATCTAATTGGGAAATTAAACTTCTAATTGTCCAATTTATTGTGGCAATTATTTTGGATGAGACAAATCAACAAACAAAATGATCGATTCACTAATAATGAATAGGCAGTAATACGCCTTTTACCGGACTATAACGGGCTGCATTTAATTCTATTTCATTAGCACACATAAATCATTCAAGTGTTAGTCAATTAATCAGGTATAAATATGGCTGTTGAACTAGTTAATATATATCTGTCAGAAATGCTTTGTGTAAATAAACTTCAGTGAAATGGTTTTTGTACTGTTCACTATTCATTTCAGTTGTAGTGGAACAGTAATGTTGCATTATTTTGTACATGATCTCACCATCTGTATCTAACTGTAGCTCACTCGCTCAGGCTCTCCAACCCCAATCAAAACTACTTTTTCGTATGTCTTAATGAATAAGTAGTATTATTATCCAATATGCAGAAATGTGCTCATGCGTAGAGCACAACATAACCTTGTGAAATTCACACTGTACCCGTTCAGTGGTAGATAATAAATCACCAGTAGATAATAGTAAGAGCTGTCAGCAAAGTATTACGTAACAGTCACTGATAGCTTTCTGTCTTTGTGTTAATGCTTGCCTGACACCTGATGGAAAATAAGTGATAACGTTGCTTCAATGTAGTTACATTTGGTTTGTAAATACAACTCGCTCATGAGTATCATTTTCCTCCTGATATTTGGGTGAAATGACTTTGACGAACATTTTGGTAACCAACTTCAAAGGTCAGTACTGATATTAAAGTGAACTGATATTAAATCTCCTTGGTAAATAGCTCGCTAAATTTACTTAACATAAATACAACATATCCACACGTAATTTTCTAATACAGTTTTGGAAACAACCATTTTAAAGGACATGCCAAAAAGGAAGACTGCTGTATCACTAAGGTGGTTTTGTGAATGCAAAAAGCCTTAATGCTTCACGCCTAATATTATTAGTTCTTATGTCTCACATCTTGCTTACTCGTTAGCACTTTTCACATTCTAAATGAACAATGAAACTTCATAGAGTACTAAATAATCATCACTCTCTTTTATGGCAATCTATGAATAAGTCAGCAAAACACCCACAGCTGAAACTTAAATCAAAGTTAATATAAATCAATTTCTTCCTCTGTATTGAAAAGCTATCTCTGAGTAACGAACAATTGAAATATGTTTGAATGCCATGGGAAATTCAAATATTGTGCACGTTACTTTTTTGTTTTTACTTTTAGCCATTACCTATATTAACCAGATGCACAGTTCAGACTCATATAAGAACCTGTCACTCTGAGATGATACCTCAGTTTATATACTAATTCATGTATATTGCCTTCATAATCAAACTGTGCAGCGTTTAGCGTAATGGTGATTTACGTCCGTGATATTCTTCCCGATTTGTGCACAAGTTTGATGACCTGTGCGTTGATGTATCTGATGACAAGTTGGAGTAGCCTCAAAGCACCCTACTAATCACTGCAGTGCATTGTTTCGTGTCTTTTCAATGTTTTTTTTACTGCTGTGGTTTAACTGCCCATCCATTTTTATTGGCCAACTTTTTTGACGGACAAAAATAGGTGATAACTAGATACGTGATTTACTTTTATCATTCAAGTAATTTGTCCCCAATGAATATTGATTACCGTGATGCAGATTTGTAGTCAATTAATCAGCTATTTCCATTCGTTTTCATACTGATAAACTTTGTGTGCTGATTATTTTGAAAAGGATTTTATGGATCCACAGATCCCTTCTACTGGTATACAGATTTATTGTGTTTATTTGTGCTCCTGTACCAAGCTAAACGCCTCAGGAAACTATATCCATATGAAAAATACCCTCCAATAATTTTCCCTGGTTTTCAATTGGTTCTCTAACTGGCGTTAGTGCATCATTAAACTTTTGATCAGTCAAATCTGTGTAAAGCATTATTTGGTAGTTCTCTGAATCGTTTCCACCCAACTATAATAGTCAGACAGTAATACAGTCACAAGCGTAGTCAAAAAAATGTCTATTTAAACGGCCGATCTATGCAAACATTAATAATCTGACCCAGAGTTGTGAATCCCGAAAGAGAGATAAAAACAAATTTTTATAGTGATATATTAAGATATACTGGTAGAAGGGCTCAAAGTGAATATCCATTCATCTAACAGAAAAAATCTTTCCCTTTTTATATAAGCCTAAGGAGCTGCTCCATCACTTAAGTAGCAGCTGACACATCCAATCGGTCAAACCTACCTGACACCTAAGAAAAATAATAAGCGTCCCTGATAGTACTCGTAGCTGAACAGTGATTATATTTGGAATGTTTTGGGGAAGTAGATTAGAGGTAATTTATACTGGCTAAGGCATCAAAGTGAGAGATTTTAAAAATTCAATTGGCAAATTCACCGACACCAGTTAAAAAAACCACTGGAGAACTTGGGAATATCGGACAACTGTTCCGTCCTAGTTTTGGGACTCTTCATCAGTTCTCACTCACTTAGAATTCTAGTGATAATTCATAATTAGCGGCGTCCACCAAGTGAGGAAGGAGAACAGTTACTCGCCTATGACATTGACTGGTGATTGTGCTGTATGCATTGTGAACCGGTAGAAGTTGGAATTCATGGGCCATTGGATTCCGTCCCGGTATTTGAAAGGTCTACGAGCTCGCCTTGTGACTGAAAAACCCTAAGTTCTAGCCTCATTATGTGCGTGCTAGTGAGGAGTTTCAGGACTAGGACGAAACTGCCGTGCAGCATTCCTAAGTTTTCCGATTATGTTTAAATAAATCACTACCTGCCTACCTACCTACGTAGTCACTCCTTTGATTTGCAATATTGCGAAACATTGTCACTTAGGAAACATGGATAAACAAGACAGCAGATCGCATTTTGCATACTATGCATTATTTACTATGCACACGGGATATTGTGACATGATCCCGTAATATGTAACTAAGTGTGCGTCAGTGGCACAGCGGTTAGGATGCTCGCCGACCACGAAAATGGTCCGGGGTTCGATCCATGGCTGAAGCACACCTGATATCAATGGTCGGCCTGCTAAATATAGGCTACCGATATCACATGCTGAAAATTCCATACTTGTACCAAATACTGTGTGGAATCAAGCCATAATAATAGAAAAAAATAAAATAATTACCTTTAGCCAATGTCTGTGTGTATCCTATGTCAGAGAAATAATTAAGCAGTTAGCTTAAATGATAGTATAGTTATATGGTCAACATAATTGCAAATAAGGGGAAGAAAATATTTTCCACACAGAAACAAAGGTTTTCCACTTAATATATTAAAAGTGCCTACCTTCACTAAAAAATGCTATCCGATCTACACCATTGTCTTCACATTTTATGAAATTTGACAAATCTCCAACTGTGTGTTGTAAGGGCTTCAAAATGAAAGAGCATGCCTCACGTCTTGAAGGCAATGGGACAATAATCCTTGGTAGACCATTTTCATTAAAAACAGATACAGTATCCAAAGATGAAACAGATGTTGAATACGATAAAAGTGACTGAATTTGTGCAAGATTCACTCGCTAAAATGAATAGATGAACATCATTAGGAAGTGATAATTATCCACGCTAAAAATGAACGAAAAAGTTGATTACTAACTCGATTTTACAGGGAAAGAAGAGAAAAAACGCTACAACAAAGGAAAATATGCTTGGCTATATAATTCCAAGTGAACTTAATCCCGGAGTAGAACTAGTGTACGGCTTGCGAACTTTTGAACTAAACATGCCAAATAATATAAGAAAGTATACTTGAGTCCATTTTTTACGGTGATAAAGGGGAGCAATGTCATGTCAACACTAATGAATGATTTGAGTTTCAACCCACATATAGAAAGCTCATAAGTTGAAGGTGTTTCACAGTAGTAACAGTTAGAAAAAGGGAATTTCCTGCGTGACACTTCAGGTTTCTTCATGAACAAGCGCTTGGTTTTAGTTTCCTTTCTGAAATTTGCATAAAATTGACATGATCCACTTCTGATATTGTACAACTAATCTGACTAAAAGGTATTTGATAATTTTATAATATCTGAACTTTGCTTTAAAATGAATCCTGTGCTCGCTAGCAACTGGCTGTATACACAGAGTTACCTAGAGCTCTAGTGAGCAGTCGTAATTAAGGGGCTCAACCAAGTCAGGCAGGAAAACAGTTACTCGCCTATGATACTGGCTTGTTGTTGCTATGTGTGTCGAGAACTGGAAGAATTTACAATTTATGGCTCATTGGATTCCATTCCAGTAGCTGAAGAGGCTGGGAGCTTCCCTTGTAGCCGAAAGGTCCTGATTGTGGACTTCAGTGTATACTTAGTACTGAAGAGTCTCAAAATGAGGCTAAAGAGCTATCCTGTACTCCATGGTTTTTCACTGATTCTCTAAATAATTTTAGTTCATCATCATGCCTGTAACTATCAAATCACTGCAAACCAATAGCATATTACAATGAAACAAAGTTAATAAACTGTGATGATAGGCTATCAGTTAGTGTCACTGAATCATTGGTAGATACAGCAGAAATATTGGTCTGAATAAGGATGAATAAGGTTTTGAATGTAAATATTGAGCTTATCAACAAGATCACTCGTCAAAGTAGTTTCAAAGCATGTCACGCACATTAAAATGTCTCAATGACTGTGTCATAGTTTAACTGAATGACGAATACTGACAGATGGAGCAAAATATGGAGTCAGTTCAAAAATGTGTCCACTGTGAATTTCAATTTTCCCTATAGATTTCAAAACTCCACAGTTAGACACTGTGCGTAAGATGGCTTACAATTGATTATAATGACTCATATAGGTTTGTTTTTCGCCTTCCTCAAAACCGTGGATATTTTGTAACTCTCAAATTATCGTTCTCTCCATAGGAGTTTCTTATACTGTAGCATCAGTTTTGTTGACTTTACCTTCCAGGGTCCCTGAAAAGCGTATTAATCTGAGTCAGCACACCAATATTGTTGTCACAAAACTTGTATGTCTATTAATTTAATAATGACCTAATGAGTAACTTTGTGCATCACTTTTATAAATTAACGCCAAAGAAGAAGCATTACCACCTCATAATGAAAGTTTGAATTCTCAAGAAAGAACTGATTGCTCTAGTTTAACATTTACTCTCAGTTGTATGTCACAAACGACGAGAGTGGCACTTAAGGAACAAGTTCTTTCTCATGGTAGCAAAATGTTGCCTCAAAATATGGAAATTATACAACACGGAAAGCTGTATCATTCTCTAAAACGTATGTCTGCTTTGCTTCTTTCTAGACACATCTGTCTATAGGCATACAGTAATAGGTCTGTTTTCTTCAGTATAAAATATTTGTTGCAGGTATCCACATAAGTGGATCTAACTTTTAATATTTTCCGGGTGGTGATGATGAATCAATTCAAAAAATGAAAAACGGACCAATAAAACCTGAATAATTAGCACCGTAAATGCCAAAAGAAATTTAGTTTATCATTTTCTAAATTTACTTTAACCCAAAACTTTTAGTAGCTGAATAAGCTCCAAAGTCGGATAATAGCAGTAATGTTCGCTTAATTTCTCAACAGTAAATCTAGAAGAATATTTCACTAGAGTCTACAATACAGCTGATTGCATTTATTATAAGTACAGTCGACAGTGATCAGAAGACGTCTTAACATGCAGCAAGTGCTGAAATGGAGGATGCTGAATTTATTTTTAACACCAGTAAGTTAGACAAGATGAGTGTTCATTAACGAGAATTCTCCCCTTCAAGTCAAAATCTAAGTGACTTATTGATAACATATTACTCTAATGCAACTGTACAGAAACCTGATTATTAAGACCAATTCGTTGTAGTTATACATTAAGATGATATATTCTAAGCCAATGAAAAAGCATGAAGTGTTATGTGCCGTTCATTAAAATATTGAGTTGGTATTGGCAGTTATAGAGTAATGCATACGGAAAAGCAGAGTTATTTGCATAGATAAATAAATATTGAGAGACAATAGTCGCAAACCTATAAAACATTGCAAATAGAAATAATAAGTCAACATACAACTCAAAGATAATTTCTGGTGAGTTAAATAAGCATTTATATACATCTTTATTCTATCATGTAAGTAAAATACCACAATGGCCATATGAAGTCATTCTGCAGGTGTATCTTTTTTAATATTTAGTTATGAGTCATAGCTCTTATTTGTTAACATTCATTCGCAAGTACTCTGTGAATATATTCAACGTCATTTGCGGACCAGGGATTTTAAGATTCGTCATATTACGTGAAATCTTAATAAATATTATTCTTATCTCTCGTCAAAGTATCACCATATAGTTGAATCAACATTTTTATCGCTTTTAACGTTAGACTAGGTCTATTCTTACCATTTTATTTTAGCAGCAGACTATAGCAGGAAACGTGAGATACAAATATGGCTTTATTCAAGAACTGGCTCATGCTTCAAATGTTGGCTTATGTAGTGAATTTACTAGTTAAGTGGTTGAATACTTAAAATGACGAGCCACAACTGTCTTTCTAAAGAGAAACATTTTCAAGGTCTGTAATAATTGCTGTTATTTAGGTAACTAAGAATGCTTGCGTGCAATACCATCTGACATTTGGCTGAGCACAAATGAGGAATAAACATGTAGTTTTTTCTCAGGAAAAGCAACACCCATTAGTCTTATGAGTCCCATCCATCTGGTCACTCAGCCTCCTCTGTTGCTTCACACGATTTTCACTGAATTAGTGTCCAGTTTAAATAAATCATAATTATCAGCAGTATGAGCGAATATAGATCCTTCAATAAATAAGCCTTTAGGACCAATACTGATGCGGTTCTTCCGTACTAATGTAATGAAAACAATTGATTTTTCACAGAAGTTTAGATCATGAATTATTCATAAAAGTTACGCTTTTGGCACAGTTTGTGTGCACAGAATGCAGGAGAGATTGTAAATTTTGTGACATTAACTTATTTATTGGTGAAAAATCAGACAAATAAAAATATTGATATCTATAAAACGTAGGCATCAATGCTTAGTCTTGCAAATTTATTTGTAACGTTGTCTTTCTGTCTGAAATGGTTTAGGATGGTTCTGTCCGCATCATCCAATGGTTGTTTGGTAACTCGTCAAAGCTGTTTAGTGGATACTATTTCGTGAACGTAATTCGGAAGATCCAACCAGTTTACTTCTCAAGTCAGTCGGAATAATATGCGATATGGAGACTAACTACAGTACTGAACTGAATACGCTGTCCAAGACACTCGTTATAATGTTGAGCTAACAATCTTACAGACAATAAATTTTAGGTAAAAACATGTTGTAGGTGAACAGATCGAAACAAAACGCAGTAATCAGTAATCCACAATGGATGAACTTCAGAAAGAATGATGAGTGCCAACTAGCAGAAAACTTAGGTCCAAGGCTTCCTGACGATTGCCTCCAACCACCTAATATCATCAAGAGTGATTTAATATTTAGTTTAATCAATCCACAGGCAACTTGAAAAGGGCTCATGGACTACAGGTGAAAAACCGAGCGAAAAACTAATTTAAGTGGGGTAAAAATCATACCAATCAAAACTGTTTAGTTTGACAAGCAATATAAGTATTCTGCCTGTAAGCTTTCAGTAAAAAATTGTTTATTTATAGCAAAACACAATCAAAAGTTAACCGATCAGGCTGCGAGGTTATTTTTTGCAGGTTTCGAGCAAGTGAATCTAGTTTACCGTAACATCCCTGGAACCTCAAAATATCCTACAAATCTTTCAACAATGCACTTTCGAATAATTAAATAAGTGTATCTCATTATTTGAAGAATTAAGCACTACAGGATTAAAAAAGTGGTAGTTTTGATGTTGACTAAGAATCTACCCTCTTCTGAAATATGTATTTATCTCAATAGAGGGCCAAGTGTTCTCATCAACATATGATGACAGGATATAGTAGACTGCAGTCTCACACAATGTCATTAACGTGTGTGTGACAGAACAGAAGCATTTCTTCTGTTTTATGAAGAAAATATCATTAGGAGATAAAAATGTAGCTTTGAAGCCTACCTTGTAAAAAACACGATGCACTGAAATCCTTTGAAAAATCATAAAGTTCAAAATTGTGTTTCTCGTAACCTTGGGTAATGTTTATATAATTAACCTAGTAAAACAATTTCAACAAAAAGTATCTGCATACGGAAATTTAGTAAGCACTTTCACACCTGAGTTTGGGTGCTGTGAACTACTAATATAACTTTTACGGTCGATTCCCTTTTGTTCTGTACTTCTACTGAACGCAGTGGGTGAACACGAATCATTTCATTTTCTTATTAGTTTAAAATTCCTTCCATTTGGTCACCAGGGTATCAAGCTCTCTGTTTGACAAGGTATCCCACAGATTAACTTAAATCTCTTTGGGGAACTAGGAGACCAAAAGTCTAGTAGCGAAATTGGTTAAGTGAGTTGTAAAAACTTTGGGAAGATCATAGATGATTTAGAAAGAAATCAACTAATGAAATATAGGAAACCGTAATAAAACGACGGAATGGGACGGCAATAAAATCTAAACGCAAGTTGAAAAATGATTGCAGGGAGTTCTAAGGTGGTGCCCGAAATAGTTCCACAGGTCAATAAGACTCCCTGCCAATAAACACCTACAATAAATTCTGTCTTTCACCATTTCCCGTTAACTAATGGTGATCACATCAGACAGCACTCATGAAGAGGTATAAGAGGGAAAATCAGACTGCGACTGTCTGCCAGGGTTTCAGTCAAGATAACCACAATCCGTTTCCAGAAGTAAAAAAATCGTTAGAATAAGAAAATGGGACGTAACAGTGGCACGTGTCAGGTGACCCACAACGGAAACCTCAGCGAGGCGTTCGAAGCGTATACGCGAGTAAAACAAGCTGGCTGCCCATTATCACTGGTCATATTCTTAACTGTGGTACACTGGAATATTCATCACACTGGACGTGGGTAGGAAGAAGACAGAAATACTCTGGACCACCGATAAGAAGACTCTAGCAGATCTAGATTCCGCAGATGATGTATGTCTAATTTCACACAAACTCGAAGACTTACAGGCGAAAATCACCAAACTGGTTGAAGAGGCAGCGAAGACAGGACCGCAGGTGAACATAGAGAAAACGGAGGAGACGAAGATAACAAACCACCATCAACAGCAACAACAACCAGCACCAATCACCATCAACGAGAGAGAATGAACAGAGGTTACCTCTTTCCCCTATCTAGGAAGCACCGTTTCAACTACAGGCCAGTGGGACGGATGAAGATTACAAGATATCGGTGCGCCGGCAGGGATCGAACCCCGGACCATGTGCTGGTCGGCGAGAGTCTAACTGTGCGTCAAAGTCAGTCAGAATCGGAAAGGCGAGATACGCCTTCATCAACCTGAAACCATTTTGGGAATCCCCTGCTTCACTCAGCCTGCATGAAGAACGAGATTCGCATTTTTGTCGTCAATGTCAAGTGATTCAGTTCTTCTGTACGGGTCAGAAACTTGGCGTGTTGCAGACTTTTATTTACAGCCGCCTTCACTGGCTGTATACTGAAGATCAAACGGCCAGAAAGAATTAGTAACAAGAAACTCTGACAGTGAACAAACATACCAAGAGCCCACCGCTTAACAGATATGTAGGAGAAAATGGAGATGGATGGACCAGGCATACATTGAGGAGACCATCGAATGACATCTCGAGCAATGTGATTAGGGAATTCGGTCAAAGTTGTGAGTACAAGAAATAATAATAGTATGAAGTGCAATTAAAATATTTGCGATCATAATTATAGTTAAATGTCGAGTAGCAAAACAATCAAATTCATATATAGGATAATACATAAGGCATATAGATGTTAGAAACTGGTACATAGTTCCAACGAGAACATATTCCAAGATGGCTTTACAAGAGAGAAAGGAAGTGTGTGCGAAGCTCTATTCTGGAACACCTGATCGACTTCTGTCACTCTGTCAATCCTGGCCATGATTTTAAGATCATATATAGAATCCATGCTAACGACCCGCGTTTTCTTCGTTACAGACTTCTAAAGACAGCTGAGGTCTTGGCAATTCATGACTTCAAGCCAGACTTTTGTGTACAAAAGAAGTATGTACAATCCCTACTTCTGCCTTGGCAGTAGAGGGATAGACATTTATTTATTTTGTTTATTTAGTTATTCTATGTGCTTTCCCTTGTTACTACGATTATTACTTTTATTATTATTATCATTATTATTACTATTCTCACTCTGAATTGTTTCCACTTAGCCCCCTTGTCATTCTAAATTATTAATTTTCATATTTTTCATTTTTACAATATTGAATTCTATCTTATCAAATTTCACACCATTTTGTGTAACATTATATATTCACCTACTAATCCTATAATAATGTACCCCTTTCCAAAATCTTTACACCTTATGTATTATTCTATATATGACATTAATTATTTTGCCACTTGACATTGAACTATGATTATAATCACAAATATTTTAATTGTACTTCATACTATTATTATTATTTCATGTATTCACACCTTTGACCTAATTCCCTCACCGGATATAATTTCTTAAAAAACCATATATATATATACGATTGTACAGCTTGATAATAAATTCGTTGAAAAGAGTCTCTTCAGTGAACATTGTTCTTAGTGCAGATAACAGCATTTCTCAGAATAGTCTTATTATTTTGACTTTATTGCAACCTTCAGTAATTGTTAAACGAACACTTGAAGAACATCACAACCATGCGGGAATTGCAAATATTCATTGAAAAATACATGCTTTTGGCCCCATTATGAAGTCTCCTCGTTGAATGCATCATTGCATGGAACTACACATCTCAAATTCACTCATATAAGACCTTATATTCATCCTTACTGTACTTAATATGGAGAATCATGTGTTTTGTAGACTGTCCCATACTGAAGACAGGAACAAGGTGCTAGCAGTCTTTCACTTCATATGAAGTGCAGTGCAAATTAATGCCCAGTGGCATTTATGCAAATTCACTGCGAAATAAAGTCTACGATAACTTCCGAACAAATTGTCGTTACTTCGACTAAGATAATAATCTGCTTTTACGTGTGAGCCTTTCTTAAGTTAGTGGAAACGGCATTATATGGAAACTAAATCGTTTCCCAAAACAAAGGCCATTTAAAGCACAACTTCATTGTAACGCTGCATAATGTGATCATAGAGCTAATGCATTTTGTCCTAACGTGAAAAGCAGACTGTACTGAACATATTAAAATAAAAATTTATACTGAAATTATGTGATGAATGCTTGCAAGTACCACAGCAGTAAAAACAGTAGCGTTTCAGTGAATAGGCCAAACACGCTAGCTTGATGTCATTATAAAGCAGAAATATTTTGCAGACATCAGTATCAATCGATATTTTCAGTCACAAGTGCAGCATACTTAATGCGGTTGGGATACATTTTGCTGCCAATATCATGTACGTCATAGAAATTATAATGTAAAATTTCACTTAAAAGTAT